AATTCTTCATCTGTGTTTCTCAGAGTTCATTAAATCCATCATGTTTAAAAAAGGTTAAATATGTGATATAAATGTTTTACCAGCAAAAAGCGAAGAGCGTGTGAGAAGTAAAGAAGTTTGAATCCATTTGAGCTCGTTCATGGTGATTCTCCGTCTCTGTCCTCCCGTTGTCACGCTCCTAACTGTCTGAGTTTCTTCAGTAGTGCTTCTTTAAAGAGACGCTGCATCTACTTCCCTTTCTTAGTATGTCATCACTTCCTCATTTTGACTTCAAGCTGGCCTTATATGTTCATTTCTATGAATGTGTCATAGTTATTAAAACATGATGTAACATGTTTAAGTGATCATAAACTGATGATCATTAAGATGAGCTGCATCGATCAGTAAAGAGGTCAGAGGTCACAGCAGATGGTGATGACTTTGAAGTTCAGCTCTTTGGTGTATTTGTTACAGAGATGTGTTACCAAAAAAAAAAAATAGGACGGAGGAAGGTAAATGTGTGAAGATTGAGAGTTCAGATAAATGTCTGAGTAGTGCAACGTTCCTCTTTAGATGGTGTTTCTGAGAACACAGTCAGGTTTAATAACAATCTCTGAATGTCCGTTGTGTTTGAGAGAACAGAGATCAGATGTTATTTTAGTGCTCTGAGATGTGTTGACACCTCATGTTGAGTCTTTTCTTGAGAAGTGAAGGGGAAGTCGTTTGCAATAGTCAATGCATGATATCACAAGAGCCTGTACCAGGAGCTGTGTAGCATGCTCTGACATGTAAGGTCTAATCTTCCTGATGTTGTTCAGGGCCAGCCACGGCCACCTCTTCAGTTTACTATGCAAACCTAAGACGACAATTCACTTTTGGTGCATTTCTCTGTACAGTATTTTGACTCATTCTAGTTCTCTGGTTAGAAAAGAGCTCTCCAGCAGAGGGAGAATTAACCCGAGAATGACGGATACCCCAGAAATAAAGGAATGTAGAGAAAATGTTCACTTTCAGAAAGACTCTGTAATTTAATGAAGGAAACACAAAAGGCACACAGTAGAATTAAGTGGTAAATGTTTATTTATTTGCAGATTTAATATGATTTAATAAAGACATGATTATTACAGACTGAATACTGAAAAATAATAAAAGAGATCTATTATGTTGATCCATATTTAAAAACATACATATAATGTTACCATGTTGGATGTCCATACTAAACCTCTGCAAAGTTTTTTAAACACAAGATACACAGATGTTGGTGTAATCCCCGGACGAGGTTTCCTGCTGCTCTGAACAAGATCTTAAAGAAAAAGTTAGGAAATGCATCAGAACAAAACATGGGGTAAAGTTGAAGGAGTTGCCCACCCGGTAGCTCATTAGTTCTACCCCCAGAGAGGTTTTAGCAAAGCTGGCCATTCAGAGTAATGTGGGCACGTGGGGAGGGGGGTCTTAAAGAGACAGCAGCTGAAATGAACCGTTTCACACAGAGGCTGATATGAGAGATTTTACCGACATAAATAAGAAGGTTTTTGAGCTACACATCTCACAACACTACTCAACAGGTGTCCCAGACTGACATGATTAATGGTGAAAGTGAGGATAATAGACCTCCTTTAAGTAAAACATACACATTCAATCAAATATATTGAAGCAACAATAAGACATGAAAGTTAAATTGACATAGTGATTCAAATTTAGTTATATTGACATTTTAAGGCACTCAAAAATATGAAGAACTTTATACAAATGAAGCTTTCTACAAAAAAAATATTATCTGCCATGTTTGCAAAAACTGAAGATTAACCCAAGTGATGATTGATAACACAACACAATCTTTCTTGAACAGCAAGCTCATTAAAAACAGACCGGTACGTTCGACCATGTTCTCTCCCTCCTCCTTCACCTGCTGCTCACCTGAGCGGAGGAGGAGGAGGAGGAGGGGAGGAGGAGAGAGGAGTAGGAGGAGGGGGAGGAGGAAGAGGAGGGGGAGGAGAGGGGGAGGAGGAAGAGGAGGGGTATTTAGAGGAGCCAGGTAGGAGAGTCAGGGGCGCACACACTCTGGGCAGCGATGTGGTGAGGAGCTTTTGTTTCCCAGTTTTATTGGTTTTCCCCACATATGTTATCATTGTTGGGTTTTATTATTTGAGTTTTGACTGGAGATCACTGTTAGTCCTATTTTGGGTCTTTTGGTTTCTTTAGTTTAATCTTTTCTTCTTAGGTAGTTTTAGAGGGAGGTACCATAATGACGGCACATTACGTGGTTGGCTCAGCATCTTCCAATCTTTTGTTTTTTTTCTTCCGGGTCTCCAGCCCCTTTTGTTTCTTATCTATCTTTGATTACTTTGGGGGGAGTGGGGTATTTACAATAAATAAAGCTAGGGTTGAACTTTAAATCTTTGTGGCGTCCTTGTATGTTTTCCGTCTCAGAGTTTTGAGCCTTGGTTTAATAATTTTGGTTAAGAAGGCCGTAACAAATATCAACTTCATATTCCACATCAGCACATTTATCAAATCCTCACTTAGTACCTCAAATAAAATGTGGATCCATGTTTTTATGCTCAAAAGTACAATATAGAAATGATTGAAAGCGGTGGATTAATGTATCTGCTGAGTGGATGTTTGTGTGGAAGTTGTTGATCAGTGGAGCCTGACAGAAGCAGAAGGTTCTCCAACATTTTCATAGTTCACTGAGCCTTCATCTCCATCATAATACACCTGTGAAAATACAAAAACATACGAGTTAAAATGGAGAAATGTTCCTTTTCTATATGAAGACAGTTCATATGAGGCTTTATTTCCAGCTCACAGTGATGTCATCAGGTGCTCTCTGGTTCCCTGAAAAATAAAGCACACAGAAACATTTCAGCTCTGACTTTAAGGTTGGTGGTGATAGGTGTGAATAAAAGTTGGTGTGAGTGTTTCTCACCTCGAGCTCTGAAGAGAAGAACAGTGATCACAGTAATCAGGAGGAGTTCAGCCACACGCAGAGCCAACATGACCAAGTCCAGATCAGAAGAACCTGTACAATCTGATGAACAGGAACCAGAGGTGGGCAAAGTTAATATTTCATATTTAAATGACTTCACAGATTTTGACTTTATTCCATCAAAATCACAACATTCCTCCCTGAGGTCTTCTTCAGGTGATCATGTTTTAACAAAGGAGGGGGGGGCACGCCCATTTATATAGATTTCAACACCAATAGGCTGATAGGCACTATGATGGCCCGGTGTGGTCAAAGAGTTTCTTCTTCTGGTTCTGCGTCCACTGAAGACACAAATGCAAAAACACAACAAGAGATAAAATCAAACAGCTAACTCAAGGCCAAGCTGAGAGCTCTGATTGGTCTGAAAGAAGCAGTAACTGCATCAACTACTTAGTAAGTTATTATCAAAACTATAGAGTTAAAGCTTTTAAAAAAAAACACTCAGTGAAGTGGAAAGTCTGCATGGTTGTGGGTTGAGTGTTGAGTCATTTAAAGTTAAAGCTTTGTTTGCTTCTGTCAGAGGCTCAGTGTGATGGTTCAGAACATTTGGAAATGTTGATTTGTTACCATTTATTAAACAACAAAAAAAGAGAAAAAAAACAAAAAACAGGGATATTGGTAGACTGCTTGCATGTGTTGTCTTTGTGACAATTTAATAAAATCAGACGTATAAAAACGCTGACTCACCGCCGTGTTGACCTGTTGTTGTTGTTGTTGTTGTTGTTGTTGTTGTTGGTGGTCTTGTTGTTGGTGGTCTTGTTGTTTCTCTTGCGTCGTCGCCTGAAGAAGAGATAAACACAACTCATCAAACTGTTCAGTATAAAATTTGTGTTTTCATATAAAATTCAAATTTATAATCCAAAATATTTTTTTTCATATTTTAGGCAAAACAAGTTTATTTATAAAACATCTTTCAGACTCCAGACAATTCAAAGTGCTTCACACAGACACAAAAAACATTTCAAACATTTCACAAGATGATAATAAAACTCTAAGAAGAGAATAAAAGTTGAGGTAAAAACTGAAGGTAAAAATAAGATTTAAATACAGATAAGTTGAATAAATGGTAATTGATTTATTGAGTTATTGTTAAATAAAGAAACAATGTTTCTACTTAAAAACATCTGAAAGTAAAACAAAACAAAGCAGGTCAAGTGTCTCTAATAACGGACATGGTGGTTTACTCCAAAGACACTTTGAAATGTTTTGATATAAGAAATGTAGAGTCCAAAGTAAGGATGGAGATTTTATAAGAGAAACACAACAAGAGACAAATTAACTTCATCAGAGTCTTTATAATTATTGTAATGTTTCAATTTATTGTTTGAATTAGAAAAGTTTTGTTTGAAAAGATTATGATTGAAATACTTACTCTTGGTAACAGAGAGATCAACTTGAGTCACATCGTCTGTTCTTCTTCCTGGTATGTCCTGTAGACAGAGATAACGTCCAGCATCCTCCTCTCTGATCTTCTTTATAACCAGAGAACAGTCCTCTGTAACTCTCAGTCTGTCTGATTTAACTCCAGAGTTTTTAACCTGACCTTCTACAACCAGCTCTACTGCTGCGTTGTTTCCTAAATCTAAGAACCATGTCGTATATTCACACTTCTGTTGACCTTGTATCACATTTTCACAAGACAACGTGGCGTCCTCTCCAACTCTGAATGTGACTCTTTTATCTCCAGCTGCTGCTGTTGATAAACTATGTGTCATAGTTATTAGAACATGATGTAACATGTTTAAATGATCATAAACTGATGATCATTAAGATGAGCTGCATCGATCAGTAAAGATGTCAGAGGTCAGAGGTCAGAGGTCAGAGGTCAGTACAGGCCGAGTACAGGCCGGTCACTCCCGCCTTTAATATTTGATTTGTTTTCTGATTCACCGTCAGATTTAAAATTTGTTAATTTTAACCATTAAAATCAAAAGATTACAAACAAATCCTTCATTATCTTAATAAGAAATATTTATTTTACATGACAACTCAGACTGTTTGTCCTTTTTAATTTATTATGATGAGAATGTCTGACAGAGTGTCCTCTTGACCTCCTGAATACAACTCTGAATGTCCGTCGTGTTTGAGAGATCAGAGATCAGATGTTATTTTAGTGCTCTGAGATGTGTTGACGCATCATTTTGAGTCTTTTCTTGAGAAGTGAAGGGGAAGTTGTTTGGTGAGAATGTGGGTATCATCATCAGCAGTCGAGTCAAAACAAACATTTCCTCCTCATCTCCCTCATCTTCAAACTCCTCTGCACGCTGCAGCAACATGGCCGTACTCCTGACAGCAGAAACACCTGAGAGGAGCTCTCTCATAAGCTCTCACTCTGCAGCAAACATTATCTAAATACACTATATCAGCAAAATCTCCTTCAAAGAGTTCAGTATCAGAATATCAGTAAAAACCAAGTGGAAAAATGAGGCCAATGTGGAAGTTTGAAATCCTCTGGAGACGTAAGGCGCATAGCTGACATGATTGACGCGTGGGAGCGATGTAACCGTTCATCAAGAGGCTTAAAACCCGCCTCAGCTGCAGCTCTCAGCCTGTTGTTAGGTTGACTGAAAGTTAGGCTGGGACGGCATCCAGCATGGCGGCTGCTGATGATGAGCCTCCAGCGCCCCCTGCAGGAACAGATGCCTGACGTCACTCAGGCTTCATCCATTCATATTTACAGTCTGTGAGTAAAGAATGGAGCCAAGTTTAAGGACACGCCCACCTAGAAGCTCATTGATTCTGCCCACAGCAAGCTTCCACAAAGTGTCACTATTTTGCTGAAGGAGGCCGTAACACAGCTTAAAGAGAGCTTAAATACCTGCAAGTAAGACTTTGACAGTTCAATAGCAACAATACTGTTGCAGGTCAGAGCTGGTGAGGAAAAAGCAGAGGGAGAGACCAGAAATCTCACAGCTTAAAGACGTCATATTCTGACCTTTTTGGGGTTCATATATTTAATCTATGTACCTACTAAAGTATGTTCACAATAGCTAAAGTTCTTAAAAAGTGTCTGTTTTCATGAACTGCCGCTCCATGCACCGGCTCGCTTCTGACTCTCTCTCTAAGGCTCTGAAGTGCCCACGTTCAGAGTCCCCACGTGTGCCAAGTCTGATCTGATTGGTCGGCCTGTCGGCTCTGCCGTAATTGGTCAGTCGCTCAGCACGGTTCTCGGAAATGTCCCGCCCCTTTTACCATATTGGGAATGCAGCCACTCTGGCTCCGAGGGGAGAAAAAACATTAACACTGCCCACAGCATGAACTCCTGAGCTGGTGGTGGGGAGGGCTTTGGTGCCTTGCTCAAGGACACCTCAGCAGAGCTCAGGAGGTGATCTGGCACCAGCTACCAGACCAACTTCCATATTTGGTCTTAAACCCTTAAACCAGCGACCCTCCAGTTCCCAACCCAAGTCCCTACAGACTGAGCTACTGCCGTTTATAGGTTAGGAACGTTTTTTTTGCCCTCCAGCCCTCCGCGCTGGTGACGTCACTGAAAGCTATGAATAGGAAGGGGGTGTTGAGAGGTGATTGTAGAGAATGATGCATGTTTAAGTGTGAAATCAGTACAGCTCAAGTTGTCACCTCATTACTACAAATTGAGGCATCTAACACTTAAACTTGAAAAACACAGTAAAAACAGATTGTTTTAGTTAAGAACAGGCAGCAAAATACACGAGACAGTACTGACATTATCATGACTCCAGAAAATAGACAAACAAAACAACAACAAATACTGTAAGTCATTAAGGGGGGGGGGGGACAAGACAAAAAAATACATACATAGGTTAGGTGTCTTGCCCAAGGACACATGGGGCTGCAGGAGCTGGGGATCGAACCCCCAACCTTCTGGTTGAGCTCATCTTATACATAACAACAGATGATCTCAAGATGACACTGTCTTTGAAATTGTTACATTGCATCTTTGCCATATTGCCTGCAGAGGGCGCCACCATGCCTCTGTGTTTGGTCGTGGATCTGCTGAACTGTTCCTGTGATTTTGTGCACCCTGGTTAGAGCTGGAACCTCCTCTCTGTAGTTCAACCACAGACTGTAAATATTACTGGACGAACCCTGACCCGTCTGTGACATAGGCAGAAAATGAGTCCAATCGACGGCCGCATCCATATTGGATTTGCAGTCTCAACCTAACTTCGGATCAACCTAACGACAGCAATAAGGCGGGACCGGCGGGACTTAACTCCGCCCATTCAGCTCGAAGTCAGCAGTCCATTTGACAACATAACTAACAGCTAGGCTGCTATCATCAACTATTCCTGCTCATCCTGAGAAAACTCTACAAACAGTAAGTTAACATTTAACTTTTCTACAACACAGTTAAAACTAATTATATTCAACCCAAATATTTAATTAAAGTCTTAAAACTACACTTTTTTAAATACAGTTCATGTTACTGTTCTGACAAAAAGAGGAATGTCTGTGTTTTATATTTACTGATGTCAACAGCGATGAGGTGAACATGACAATTGAAAAATAATTATTTAGTATTTATTATAAGACATTTGTTTGTTATAGAACCCCGTGAAGTCATGGAGTCTGTGGACAGTGTCAGCTTCACACCAAAAACTAAGTATTAGAAAAAATAGTATTTAAGACTGGCATCTATTATGATGAGTTGCAGCTACCTTGTTCAATATTATTCCTGCAGATGTGGCTCATAACAAAAAAACAGCCTGAGCTGTCACATGTAGTTAACTGTACATTTTGTCTTGTCTGAGGCATTAATTGAACACCTTTGTATTTCTCCTATAGACACAGTGTGGATTATTGGTGACTGGTCCGTCGAGGTGCCCAGAGAGCTGCAGAGACAGAGGAAGAAACCTGAGCCTCAACAACATCTGTATTTGTTGGTTCTTCTGGGGTGGACTTCAGTTGCTTCTCTTCAACAGCTCGCTGTGAGGGAGGTCTCCCCCGGATGGCCTGAGTGATGTCACCCACAGGCTGAGAGCTGAGACGGGTTTTAAACCTCCTGACAAACCGTTACACCGCGCCCGCCTGTCAAGCTGGTCAGCTACACGCCTTATCGTGAATAACTCTTATCCTTCATCAAATCAAAACTGATGAGTCATCAAAACATTCACCCCCCGTACAGTGTGTGTCCATCGAGACATGAGCTAATCACACCTATTTGTTTGTTTTGTACCAAGCTGTAAACATGTTCATCTCTGCTGTAAAAACAGACTTTTTTTAATGTTGTTTTTCAGATTAAATAAATATTTCTATATAAATGCACTCCTTTATGTCTACTTATGAGTATACATTTCAGATTTTAAAAGGACAAGACTAAAATGTGCATTAATGCTCAACTCAATAGCTAAGGGAAGGAAGTCTACTTTTACACAACTTCTTAATCTTTCGACATTTTTTTTTACCAAATACCAATGTAGTTCATTTCTGAAAGTGGGATGGAACAGAGTCATTGCAAAAATATGACCTTAAACACAGCCCCATTCTTAAATCAAGATACATGGAGAGTAAATAAAATCAATAACTTGTGAATAAAAACAGTTAAAAATGATTTAGAAATGTAGTCTTCCCAGATCAATATCACATAATATCAACTTCTCCCATCTAAACTGGACAAAGGGTTTTAAAATGGGAAGAAAATAGTTTGATTGCAAGTTGTTTGGAGGAGATCTATTTTTATTTGAACAGCATGAATACAGACCTGACCTGCTGACCTCCTGACCTCCTGACCTGCTGACCTGCTGACCTCCTGACCTGACAGACAGATGTCGCGCGAAGAGCTGTCAATCAAATCTGCCTCAACCCTATTATGGGCATAGTGTTTTCCTTAATAGAATAAAATCCGATGAGTTATAAAAAAAATTCACCCCCCCCAACAGTGTGAGAAGAAGGGGCCGTCAACTTCAAACAGATTTGACATTACAGAGTTCTTCAGTGTCTCACAAATGTGCAAAAACAATTAAAAAACCTCAATCACATCTAAAAGATATCATCAATACTTTCTGTTCAATGATAAAGGAAGAATGTGTGACTTTATGATCCAGTAGATGTCGCCCTAAAGCACCAGCATGAAACCAAAACAAACTGCTGTTTGGCCACGCCTCCTCCATCCTGAAGCCTCCACTCTCCTCCAGAGACACACCTCCAACCCCTCTCCACTCAAGTTCCCATTAAGGAGTTAAGCGTAAGCGGTGGACTAAATCTTCCTTTGCTCGAGCTGCAATTGCCTGTGGTCTGCATTGTTGTGTTAGCATGCTACTGTTTGCACAGTTAAGTTAGCTTGTAGCTTCACATTGTATATAAATTGATACAGATAACAATCTAAAAATGCTTATGTGATATCAAAATAATCAGTGAGTATGTTCTTCTTCTTCTCTCTAGTTCTTGACTAAAACAGCTTTTATACATAAGGGGAGGAGCCGGCCGTCCCGTCCATGTAAACACGGCTCTGACAACAACACAGCCAGCGGGACTCGAGCTTCTCCCTCATTGTAGACAGTCATGACTCAGAGACACATTTACACAGGATAGACTTGGTTTAAGATATATTTAGGTGTAACATGTCGCACATTGTTCCTTTAGTCTCGCTGGGCAGGTAAATGTCGCTCATCATCGACGTGAATGTAAATAAGATATTTTTCAAAGAAACAGACCATCAGATCAACAACAGAAACGTATAGCTGCCTCCATATTTTCCAGGATTTAAACGTTAACAAACATGTATATTTCACTTCTTAAATTGAACACATTGAGCTGCACACAAGAAGTATTATTACAAAACTCAGACTAACTGTGTTTAAGGTATAAGAACGCATTCATGAAATGAAGTTCTTGTAATAATATTCCCCTAAATCGAGTTGAAGAGCTATTTTATGATGTTCAGAAGAAAACATTTCAACAACTGAACCCTCATGTCTCTCTCCTCTCTCTTCTTTTAAGCGTCTAACCTGGAGCTGCATCAAGAGAACTATTCCTCACCTTCCTCTTATTAGTAAAGTGTATATTACCCCACTTTCTGGTTCCTCCTTTATCTGTCATGAAGTTCACACTCTGTCGATTTAGCCTTTTATGGGTTTCTACAGACTCTCGGATGTGACTTAGTCAAGATGATCGTTATCTCACTTCCTCTTCTCAGTCATGTACCTCTCAGTACATACAGAATGATCTGAGCAGTGATGAGAAACTACAACTTAACACATGCACATCAAAGTGCCTGCTGCGTATATAAACTTATTTTAAAAGCTGGTTTATATGGAGCCCCTGAAGTCCTAAAAAGTGGAAAAAAATATCTTGTGCACTTGAGTTATCATCTAACTTGTGCACAAGATGTTATGTTGTGCTCACAAGTGAATATCCTGTGTGCAAGGATTAAGACAAGAAACAGTCAGTGCTCACACACACTAGCATGTAGTCAAAGGTTTGTTAGTATCGTGTTCACACAAGATATTAACTGGTGTGCCCAATATCTTTTTTTAACTTTTGGGACTTCAGGATCTCCGTAGATTTACATTTCATGCAGAGGTATTATGCTAGGTCTTTGTGCTACTAGTAAACCTACAACGCCCTCTTTTGAAGGAAAAGCATCTTAAAGCAATAACTCTTGAAAGTCATCAACACAAAGTCTTATACAAACACATCTATCAGTATCTGTTTTCTACTGAGCCCTGCAAGGCTCAGGTGAGACAAAAAATAAAAAGCTGTCGATCATTTCAACAAATCCATGCACACTGATTTACAATCTGTGGGCACAGATTCCTAAATGGTGCACACAGATTTCAAAACAGTGCGCACGGTTTCTTAAACTGAAAGTGTGCCTGCAGATTGCAAATCCATGCACACGGTTTACAAATCCATGGGCACTGTTTATAAACTGTGCACACAGATTTGTAAACCGTGAAAAAAAGATTTACAAATTGCTTTTAATTTTGTCCTACCTGAGCCTTGTAGGGCTCCGTAGTTTTCAGTGTAGAATGCTGAAAAAACCTGAGTTGTAACTTTACTTTGGATTCTTATTTCTTCTCTTTGTTGATGGTGGCGTAGAGGATGCTGGGATCAGCAGAGGCTCCTGCAGCAGTAGAAGAAGAAGAAGCTTTGACGGAGGCATAGGTCACTGAACCATCGTCAGCATCGTCTTTAGCACAAACCTGGAGATAGATCACAGAGCATTAAATAACACAAAATGACATCATTAAATGCAAAGTGCAAGTTGATACATCGAGAATGAAGTCAAAATATAACATTGAAAAAATGTTTGTTTCTAGTAACGTCTCCACATGTCATGCTGTGCTGAGAAATGTTATGTATAAATGTATGTGTGGATTCATTAATTCAGAAAACATGATCGTGATGTCTCTGGCTCCGCCCACACTAAGTGACTCAAGGTGTTCCTCGTGTCTCTGGAAACACTGGTCCAGATCTCTCCTTGTGTTCTTAATTACTGACAAACTGTAAACTGTAGTGATTATATCCCTTCGTTGATGTCCTGTGTTTATATTTTTTGTGCTTTTTTATAATGATAAGGACCGATGGGTCTGAAATAAAATATCAAGTAAAGTATAACGTGGAAATGTGAAGAATAAAGTGTAAACGTGGACACACTGATAGCACAGCCGATACTTGTTGATCTGAGCTTCATGACTTTAATAAAGACGTTTTTAAAGTTCACATCCATCCTGACTTTAACCAATCAGACAGCTCACCCGAGCTTCTCTTTTCCCCTTCTTGTTGTATCTGATGGAGGCGTAGGAAACCCCGCCTTCAGGATCAGCCTACACAGAGAAGACAACAAAACAGCTGCTCAGTAACGTTTATCGTGACCTGTGCTTTTGATTGGAGCAAATAAAAAAAAACTGGTTATGATCTTATCTAGGGGTAGCAGATAAAGGGAGAAGAGCAAGGGCCCCAGGACAGAGCCCTGTGGTACCCCACATAACCATGTACTGAGAATGTTCTGTCAGCAAGATAGGAAAAAAAACAATCTGTGAGCCCACAGTGTGATACGTTCCTGGTGCTCTGAAGTTGCATCACTATCAAACTTCCCTTTTTATCGTTGTCACCCTCTGAAGACTGAAGAGCAATTTATCACACTAATCTAAGGAAATTATGATTTTAAGGTGGGGGGGGTTTCTGCTCTTTAAAAAAAACACTTGCGTGCTGCTGATGACTTCCTGAACCTCCCACAAGTGGACAGATATAATAAATAAGATTAGTGTAATGGAAGGAATGACTCTTTCTCTGTGTCTTCACAGAAATGTTTTTTTAAACTTCTGAATATGCAGGATGAATTGTTTAAAGCTCGTTTGATGGTATCCAAAGAATGACCCTTATGATGTCTTAATTTATCAAGCCTCTGTTTTCATCTTAATTTTCATCACAGGCTCCGTCTGAAGAACTTCTCTCTACTCTTATGTAAAAAAATGTTATGAATCCTGTTGTGTTTTTGCACTTCAATCTTAAAAAACCTAAGCTCAGATCAATGAAGAATTCAAAAAAGACTCTGCTATGGTCACATGTAGCGAGCAAACACAGCACAAAGAGGGTAAATTGTGATCTCACCGTGTCCTGACCGGTCCCTGCAGCAGACCGAGACCCTGCAGGGTCTGAGGTCAGCTCCTGGACAGAAAACACATCACATTATGCATTCATTGCAAACATTGTTAGGGAGCTAAATAATAATAACACCTGCAATGTAATGCAGTAGATTTATGCATGCTTCAAAACATCTTAAGTCTGTCAGCAGGGGCATGTCCAGACTTTTCTGACTCGGGTGGACTCATGCAGGGTGGTATGCCTGACAACAGGGGTTGCAAATTAGCCTAGAAACATGTATGCATGTCATCTACTTTTTATCTTACGTAAGAAGCATGTTCCCTCTGAAATAAACTAAGTCAAATAACATATTAACCTTTGTCAAATTCCCAGAGGGGCAATCAAGGTTTCAGTAATTCATTTAAAAACGTAACTGTTTAAAAAGTAAAAAGAAAAGAAAAGATGTTTGTGGAAAGTCACAGAAAGATTTGCAACATCAAAACTTCACAAAAGCTACAGGCAGAACCTGTTGCCCAGTTTTGAACATAAGCCCCTCCTCCTCCAGGCAGACAGCCAATCATAGTCTAGAATTTTAGAACGGCACCAAGCGCGAGTCAAGTTTTAGGGAGGGCCCTGCCACCCTGGCTGCCCCCCTGGACACACCACTGACTGTTGGTTCAGTTCAGTTTAACTAGAGATGTTTGAAGTATGACAGACAAAAAGTGTCTCATGAAGCTTATTGATAGTTTATCATTATGGACTTTTCATTTCAGAGGCTGTAGTTTAATCCATTTATCTGACATCACTGCAGTAGACATACTCGTTATTTCCCGTTATCTTGAAAAAATAGATGTCTGTAACTTGATTGTGCTCAAGAAGCTTGAGCTTATACATGAAATATTACAAAAAGAGGCCAGGCAGACCAAACAAGGTACACAAAGAAATGCCTCCTGTAGGAGTTATGAGGGTTAAGAGTTTGATGGGAGAATAGGCAGAACAAAAACATGCTCCAGGACCATTATTGCTTCTTAACAAGCATTTCTTTACATTTTTGTTCAGCAGCCGTGAGAACAAACATCATAATCAAACGTTTTGGGACTTACAACCATCGTCACCCATCTGCGTTCTGTTTCCTGTAGAGACACAGAAACAGCTGGACTTTAGCTTCCAAACAAGAAATATGGTCATCACCAAACTTCTAGATATTAAATTGTGTTGGTTAACTGAAGCTAACAAACATTCAACTTCTGTAATTAAAGCTTTTTTTTCTTCATGAAAATGTTCATCTGTGCTCTCACCTTTCCGTCTGATGACTTTCACAACGACCACTAACAGAACATAAAAAACCACCACGGGCACGAAGATCAACCACCAACGCCAGTCTGCCAGAAAAATGAAAATATGTGAAGCATGATGACCTCAGACTTCTGTCCTTAATCAGAATCAAACACAGAGAGCAGAAGACAACAGGAGACCCTTTTTTTAGTGTTTGTTGTTGCTTTTGTACTTTTACCTTAGTAGCAGCTGTTGTCGTTGGTGGTTTTTGTTGTTGTTGTGTTGTTGTTGTTGGTCTTGTTGTTGTTGGACTTGTTGTTCTGGTTTGGTCCTCACCTGAAGTTGAGATAAACACAACTAAACAAACTGTTCAGCACTAAACTTGTGTTTTAATATAAAATTCAAACTTCAAATCCAAAAAAAACTTTTAATATTTGAAGTATTTCCAGTCCAAAGTAAG